ATCTGAATATCGAGGGGGTTATCTCTCTATCTTACTCTCTCTCTCTCTCTCTCTCTCTCTCTCTCTCTCTCTCTCTCTCTCTCTCTCTCTAACATTTCTCTGTTCAATAAAATCTATGACAACACATAACTTATTTAGTTTTGAAAATTTAATCTACACATGTATTACAAATAATTTGAATGCCTCTTTCCAACATCTTGACCGAGTATAATCACGGCAGGGAAATGTTTACAGATACATGAAGAAGTTAGCTAAAATAATCGTCATAAAAGAATAAAAAGGCACATAAATTTAGAATATTTTGAAGTAGAATTTAAATAAAACGAGAATTATTATGCCGTACGATAACAGTCAATGTCAACAGATAATTGAAAAATCCCTTATTTTACTCAGAATCGCTGTGGCACGGAAATACATGTACGGTTGTTTCAACCCCGTACAATGTAATTAATTCATTTTATAAGTAGCAGTTTTATCTTCAGAAGTCCACATTATTTTATAAGTGAAAAGAATAAGCATAATTATTTACTATAAAAGTAGATTAATTTATTTTTTAAGTACACGCGGTAACAAATACACATTTGACGGCGATTAAAATCATGTCATTAAAATATCGATTTAAACATATAGTATATGCAGTAAAAAATGTTTTTATTTATTTATTTATTAACTTATTTATTTATTTATCTATTGTTTATCTCAGTAGTAGTTTTATCTTCTTAAGTCCACATTATTTTATTAGTTAAAAGAATAAGCATAATTATTTAACCCTATGAGATTAATTTATTTTTTAACTACACACGGAAACAAATACACGTTTGACTGCGATTAAAATCATGTTATTGAAATATCGATTTAAACATACGTATGTGTAAAAATTTTTATTATTTTTTTTTATTGATTCATCTATTTATTTCTCTTTTGTTTATCTATTGTGTATTTATATTTATTTTTGACATTTGAATAATAGAATAAAAGAATAATTTCAATTCAAGGAAAAGACCGAAGGCATTCCGAATAAATCGTTCATCTTCCGTTCACCGTTCGTTCACCGTTCACATTGCGCTCGCGTTCGCTCTCCGTTCGCGTTCTGCGTTCACTCACCGTTCACCGTTCACACATCGTTCACCAAGTTGCGTTTACCGTTCGCACATCGTTCACTCACCGTTCGCTCTGCGTTCGTTCAGCGTTCGTTCACCGTTCGTTCAGCGTTCGTTCACCGTTCAGGTGGGAAAGTAGAACGTTTCAGGGACTGTAGTTTGATTACTTAAATTTCTTGTTACGATATTTTATACTGATTGTTATTGGATTAAAACATGATGTTTTCATAATATGCACATAGATTTTTAAAAAATATTTTAGAATTAATGTTAGAGGGATAAATTTGTAACACAGTCAGTTAGTGACCTAATACGGAATTATACAGGGTGTGAAATGGAAACTGGGCTTCGCCTCGCCCAATACGGATTTCCATCTCGCACCCTGTATGATTCCGTATTAGGTCACTAACTGACTGTGTAACTAATAATATCGTCCAGATACAGTACTGCAATATGCCACTGTAATCCATACAAGGCTTGTTCTACATGTATCACTTTCTGGAAAGTAGCATTACACATCCAAAAGGCATTGCTTTATATTGAAATTATCCAGCACGAGGGGTTCCGAATGCCGTTTTCTCTTTATCACTTTTTCTCATTGGAATTTGGTGGTAAGCCATGTCAAGATCCAGCGAGGATATCCATATCGATCCAGCTAATGAGTCGAGATCATCGGCATCCTTAATTGTCTTTGCATTCAGGCGCTTATAATCTCCATGATTGATCTTTCTTTTGTACCAAAACAAGTGGAGATGATCGGGGGCTGTTTGATTTCTCGATCAATCTTTGTTTCAGCAACTTTTCAATTTCAGCATCTAATACATCTCGCTTGAACATAGGAATTTTTCTCACTCGATCTTTAAATGGTCTGTCGTCATTAAGATTGATACGATGTTTTCCTATTCTTGCGCGCTCCGCAGGCATTTTCGGGTCAGCAAACACAGATTTACGTCTTAGTAAAAACTTTTTGAATTCCATTGCTTGTTCTTTTGACAGGTTTTCACATCCTTATTGCAACACATCACATAGAAAATCCGGAAGTTCATCGGACACCTTTCCGGTTTGCACATTAAACACATCATTCCATAGAAATGAATCACAAACACAACGCACTGGTTCTAATAATGCAATTTCCGTATTTGTCTTCACACAAATTTTACTGGTCCCGGGATTAAAGACACGTACATACACAAAGCCATTTTTCGCGTTCACTAATGTATGACTATTTTTTTAATCGGCACTAATATTTCTTACTTAGATATTAGTCCTGGAATTCACTTTTGACTTCAACACAGCCTCATGCCTCGGTAGAATAACGCTACACAGACTCTACCAGGCAGCTTTGCTTGATTTCCTCACTTGACCTGTCAGTTCCAAACTCAAATTTAGGATATTATTATCATAATTCCACTGCCCTTGGATTCTGTCTAAGCAAATTACATTATACGCCCGCACGCAAACGCGAAAATATCTCCGAAAGTGAGAATAATTTTTGCAGTTCCAATTGTTTTTAAATCCCTTCCATAAGTAGTTTTGAATTTCGTTCGCACTAGCTCCAATACAGGTCTATTTAATGGGAAAAATATTGTAATACACTTCCTTTGAGATAAAGGTATTTACCGCGACTGTGTCGATTTTTCAGACCAACGGAGTGCTGTCCACTAATCCGCTCACTTATATACCAGATTTCCCGTGCACAATCACTAAATCATCAGTCATTTTATTCTGCACATCCGCTTTAATTCCGAAATCTTTGTGCGTTACAACATCTGTTTGTGTTTCAGAACATGAAACATGACGCTGTACGTTTGCTGTATTGGGTCTATTTTTTGCGTTGACCGACACATGGCATACTGCCTCAGTCGAATTGAGTTTAATCACTGACATATATCTCCGGAATATTCGACACTTCTTGTTCCGGGTTTATTGACATCATGATTGCCCTTGTTTTCCGATAGCCTATTCTTTGGACAATTTCTCATTAGATAATGAGACGAGTTACACTTAAAGCATCTTTACACCGTATTGGTCGACAATTTTAGTTGATGTGCTGTTACCAATGTACCGTTTTTCAGTTACTGTGTACACCTGTGGTTGGTATTCTTTCTTCACGTAGGGCTTTTTATTTTCGGTAAAGCGTATGCACTCTTCTTGCATAGCAGCTGTAACAGCTTCGTCTAAAGTTCTTGGGTGTGTTCGCTTAACTGCAAGGCGGAAGTCGTCATTATCGCTACAGTTATCCAGGAATGTTTTCATTGAGCTTTCCATTTCATATTCTTTGTTCTCGGAATAAGCACGGCGATACAAGTCCTGAATGGCATGGTTGAAATCCCGGCAATATCGATATCACTGCAATGTGCGCCACCAAATCACAGCTAACAATTCAAATAAATAAAGTTTGACAAAATTACTACTTTATTCAAATCACATCTTATAAAATTACACTTGAATTTTGATGCGGCAAGTACATGCCGGACATCGGTAGAAATGGCTCACCATCCCTTTACTTTTGATTATCAAATATTGCCGATTTCCCTTTTTGATGAACATATTGTAACAATGCGTCACTCTTTCCTTAAATCGAATGGTTCAATCCAGACAAGCACTTTATTCCCCGAATCATCATAATCATAAATATACGTCAGTCTCTGGTTTGAAACATTTCTAGGTAAATCCATAGTTCACAAATTCACTGAATTATCACCAAAATATATCCCACCGGAATTATAATATCCCACCGGAATTGTAATATCCCACAACTGCCACAGTAATAACGTCCGAGCATTTATCAGATAAATTAAATAATCCATTTCTTATTGCAGGTAGCAATAATATGCAAAATATTTACTCATATGTAAAACATAAGTAAATGCTTAACGGGTAATCCAGGTATTTAATCGCCATCCGGGATTTACTCTCACCTTGGAAATCAAAAGTCAGTATCGGTTTAACCTTTATTTACACATTATCATAGTTAAGAATAATCCAAAATCAATGCAAAAAACACTGTATAATTAATCCAGAAACAATTTTTGAGTGAAGTATATCCCAACGGAACTGTATCAAAACGGTCCACGTATCAAATAAGTACCCGTATATACACTAAATGACCATCACTCCTAAGGAGTGGTGGGGAATAAACAAATGGCCGTCACTCCTAATGAGTGACCGGGTGTAAACAAACTATTCTAAAAATAGAACGAGTTACCGGGAGTTATATAAATAATGCATAATATTGAATAAACAAATAAAATAATAAATTTAAAAAAAGACTTAAAAATAAGTGACATTATAAACAACATTTACATAAATTCCACGTGTTTTGAGCCATAAACATTGCATAATATTTTAAAATAATTATAGAATAATAGTAATAGGACTTTGAAGATATTTTACTGACCATTGTATTCACACTTCCTAACAAAGAGGGGGACGTTAAAAGAAGCATTTGCGGATATTTTCATTATACTATTCGACTATACTATGTGTTCTTTTCAATATTAAATGTGTATGGTTTTATAAAATAGAGTGAACTTTGGGTTAAAGGTTTTTATTGGTTAAGAAATAAAAGTCAGCGAATTCTTGTATTAAGAAATAGAGCAGTGTTTTTTCTTAAATCAGACTTACAAGGCTCGAAAAAACGTGTATTAAGTGTGTACATACGGTAAGGCTAAAACTTAAGTTCCATGACTTATAAGGCAAGCCTTACAGTGTGTACCGGCTCTAAGAGTCTTGTGATTTTACATCTTATATCTTACACATGTCTTAGAAAATCTACTTAATTTGAGATCAAAGTTAAGGGCTAAGAATTTTAGGCATGGATAATTTATTTCTCTGTTATATTTCTAATGAAAAGTATATCAAGGAGATTCCTCTTAATTATGGACAGACCCCGACAAAATGGACGTTCAAAGTCATAGGTTCCTATATAGAATAAAAAGGAAAGGTAAAAAAAAATTCTTGTTCTATTTTTGAAGAATTTTTTAGCTCACCTGAGCCAAAGGCTCAAGTGAACTTTTCTCATCAAAATTTGTTCGTCGTCGGTGTCGTCGATGTTGTAAACTTTTCGCATTTTCATTCTCTTCTCAAAAACCACTGGGCTAAATTCAACCAGACTTGCTACAAAGTATCCCTGGGTAAAGGGGATTAAAGTTTATTCAAATGAAGGGCCACACCCTTTTCCAAGGGGAGATAATTATATATCCGAGAAAAAATAATGGCATTCTAAAAAAAAATCTTCTCCTCAAGAACCGCTGGGCCAGGGAAGAGGAAACTCGTGTGAAATCATCCTCAGGTAATGTAGATTCAAATTTGTTCAAATCATGACCCCCGGGGGCATGGTAGGGGCAAAATTGCCGATCAAAGTTTTACATCGGAATATAGAGGAAAATCTTTAAATATCTTCTTCTCAAGAAACACTGGGCAAGCAAAGTTGAAACTCATGTGGAATCATCATCAGGTAGTGTAGATTTGTACATTTGTTCAAATCATGACCCCAGGGGCTAGGGTGGGGACATAATGGCCGTTAAATTTTTACATAGAATATATAGGAAAAATCTTTAAAAATCTTCTTTTAAAGAACCACTAGGCCAGAAAAGATGAAACTCGTGTGGAATCATCCACGAGTAGTGTATATTCAAATTTGTTCAAATCATAAACCTCGGGGCTAGGGTTGGGCAAAAATGGCCGACCAAAGATTTATATAGAAATATATAGGGAAACCTTTTAATTTTTTTTTCAAGTCCATGTACTTAAAAGCCATGATTAGTGATATTAATATGGAATCATCCTCAGGTAGTAAAGATTCTAGTTTGTTCAAATCATGACCCCCTTGGGTGTTAAAATTCAAGACCCCCCACCAACCTCAGTAATCTTTCAGTTCTGGTCTGTTATGTGCTTTTTCCTAGTCGATGTCCTAAGGTGAGCGCAGTGGCCCCTGGGCCTCTTGTTTTTATAACTTATCGACTCTTGCTCCTTAAACTTTAGTGGTTGAGGTATAACAAAAGGACAATTTAGGCTGTAATACAGCATGCGATTAATATTGTGTTAACTGTGTAACTGTTGATTAAGTTAAAAAAAAATGGGTAATACATGTATGCATGCTTTAAAATGTTCTATAGCACTAGTACTCTTATAAATGTGCATTAAGGTGACTTTTTTCCATCAAGACAGGGTACATGAAGATTTTTATTTTTTTTTGTCGTTGTTTACGTATATATCTTGGTTTGGTTTTATTTCAAGAAGAAAGTGTGTTCAACATTTAACTTGTATTTTTTGTAAAAATTCTTACATTGACTTTGCTGGCGTCTGTTTTTCTCCGCCCTAAGAAACACTACCAAATCCTATACAATAGAACAAATTAATTTCTTTCAAAAGTACATGTAGATTTGAAGTCACTTGCTACAATAAAATGTTCTAATCACTGAAAAAAATATTACTATAATTATTTAAGTAATGTGAACAAGATTTTAAGGTAAAAAAGATTTTCCCAAGAGCTCTCTGCCCCTACGCCCCCCCCCCCCCTCCTTGTCAAAAAAAAAAATCAAAAAAAGTAATTGAAGGGCAATCACAAAAAAGTAAATATACGAAGGAAATCAAAGCTTATTATACCCCACAGAACAATTTGCGGGATAGATAATGCTTTTTAGCTTCCCGTCATCAGTCAGTCAGTCAGTCAGAGTGTCAGTCATTCAGTCCGTCAGTCGTGTTTTTTTGGTCAGGACAACTTCTCTTAAACCCCTGCACAGAATTTCATAAACTATGCAGATATTTAGGGCATGATATGTGAATGTGCATATTTAAAGGAAATTCCGAAATCTTAATTTTTTCCGGGAAATTCCACACTTTTCAACTAAGGATTTTGGCCTTACCTCGAATATAGAGATCAACAGTTTTTCAGCGCAACTCATCTAAAAACGGTTCACAGACTTTCGTCAAACTTAATAGGTAAATAGGATACATTGTGTAGACGTGCATATTTCCAGGAAATTCCGATTCCTTAATTCTTTTCGGGAATTTCCTGAATTTTCAACTTAGCTTTTTGGCCATACCTTCAATATAGAGATGAACAGATTGTTAGCGAAAATCCTCTATAGCAGCTGCACATATTTCGTCAAACTTAGCAGGTATTTAGGAAACAATATGTAGCTGTGAGTATAACCGGGGAACTCTGATTCCTTTTTTACGTGATTTTCAGTACTTAGAGTTTTTGGGGAGCGTGGGGTATGTGAGCTTGCTCACTTTTTCTTTCATTTGATATTAGAATCATTTGATTTTAGCATAATCTTATTACAGTCAATTGCCTCCAAAGTCATATATCAACCAACAGATCAATATTTCCACAGAGAGAGAGAGAGAGAGAGAGAGAGAGAGAGAGAGAGAGAGAGAGAGAGAGAGAGAGAGAGAGTTGTCTTATTTTGTTTCAATAAGATAATTTAACAATTCTATAGTACAGAATACTTTAAATAGAAACAGCAGAAATAAAACTTTAATGACTTTCTGATTGTTAAGAAAGTTTTTGCTACAGCCCCTGAAAATATAAGATTGCACTTCCTTGATCAACTATCCTCTGTAGACTATGTGTAAGCACATACCTCGTTTCATCGAGTTGTTCATATTATTTCAAATTTGTAGATCAGTTTTTCATTCTGAGTGATGACGAGGTGTCAGTGTTATTCTGTTTTCTGTGTTCTGACTCTGGTCCTCCTGTTTTCACTGACACAGAGTGGCTGGACTTGCTTAATGTGATACGGCAGAGAGTGTACTGTAAATATGATCCTGTAACACGTGATGAAGCACAGCAGATTCTGGATAGTCTGAAGTCATATGATTACCTTTGGGATGATCAGGACAAGATCACGAAAGACACAAAGGATGAGACCATTTATAAAATAGCATTAAAAGGCCGTGAAATACCATTCTATTACAGTAGTTATGACACAGCCAGTTTGTATCTGAGATCATACAAATACAACAGAAAACCTGGAGAGAAGTGTGTCAGTAGAGTCGTTGAATCCTTACTGATACTCCGTCTACAGATGAACATACTGACTCACGTCACTATGGAGGACACAAGTATATATGATAAAATACATCAACTATGTAAGTTATTGTAACGGAATGCAACTTTTCCAAAAAAAAAAAAATAAAAATGTTTCAATTGATTAAATGATTTCTAAAGATTGGCATATCTAAATATGTTAGTTTAGATATTTTATGAAATGATTCATAAGATGTTGACTTTTTCTGGAGGCTTGTTCCTTGTGGCTGATTCATTCATTCAATCTTCAAAAGCTTTACATTTTTTTTATTCAGACAACTGAGACTCCTTATTGGATTATCCATATATTTTTGTACTTAAATTAGTACTTTTGTATTTAGATTAGTACTAAATTTACTTCTCTTCCTTCAGAAATATTTTGGTTGAAATAATACATGTATTACTGTGACAGTACTCGAGAAATTATAGTTACGTTTAACACTATGAAAAATACTCATCTTTCCTTTCTACAGTGAATGTGTCAAACCAAATACTAAAGGAGAATGAAGATAAAAGAAAAGAATTTGTAATGGAACTAAGAAAAGGAGGAGAGATTGTACGTTACAAAGGAAGATCACAGGGCAGTGTAGATCACATGAAGTGGCTTTGGAGATACGGGGTCTGGGCAAGACCTGACATCGTGAGATCCTTTATAGGCCGTCATCCACACAATGACATTTACATCATCGACAAGAAAGCTTACAGAAAACCAAGTAAGAAAATTAATATATTCGAAATGTTTAATTTAGGCTGATAACGGTTTATAACTTCGTAATTTTACAATAATATTGTACTACAATATGCTCGGAAGAGAGAGAGAGAGAGAGAGAGAGAGAGAGAGAGAGAGAGAGAGAGAGAGAGAGAGAGAGAGAGAGAGAGAGAGAGAGATTAATATAATAAAGTGCACACCAAACGTGCACACCAAACATGAAAGTGAACCGTGTTTTGCGCAATGCTGAAAATATTTTCTTTACAGTATTGAGTGTGTGTATTTCTTGTATCGTTCAATAACTGCACAAAGTGCACACTATATGCTCAGGAAACCTTGCATACAGTACCGACCAGACCCAGCCTGTCACCGAGACTGCTTTGAGACCGCCGCGGGACTGCTCTGGAACCGCTGTGGGACTGCTCTGGGGCTGCTCTGAAAAGCAGTCCCAGCAGTCCCAGCTGTCCCTGGGACTGCTTTGTTCACTCATGTGTGAAAAAGGTTCTGAGTGACATGATAGCTCCACCCCCTTGTGTGTTCTGAATTTGCACTGGCTCCTTTTGTTTATTTGTAGCAGAGATGAGTTTAAACTGTATAGAAAGCAAGGATTTCTTACATAATTTTGATATGTAGAGATTATTATAGTTAATTAGTATTTTCAGGGACTGTATACTTGCACAAATGTATAGTTTACAATAAATGAAAAAAATATAATGTTGTTAAATAAGAAAGTCATGAGAAAATTTTATCCCTAAAAATAAACTAGAGGTTAATGAGTAAAAATATTTACATGTAGGTCTTTTAACTATTTAAAAACTGTGTACGCAAGATTTGCATTGGTACTATTTAAAAAAAATAAGTACAGATGGATATATGATTTTTTTTTAATTGAAAAAGCAAAACATTTTACAAGTACCACGAGTGTTCCATGTTTTAAACCCTCAAATAAAACCTAACAAATAACCATAAAATAAAATTATGCTACCTTTCTTGCGTAACATAAATAATGTCAGTGAATACCGGTAATCATTGAGGAATTTATGACTGAATTACCGGTAGCTTTTAATATATTAACAAGTTATTTAAAGAGTACATTCATTTAAAAAAAAAAAACATTTGAAAATACCGGGAATTGTGATTTATTTCTTTTTTGTTTTGCTAGTGTTTACTTGGCCGATTAATGGCCGAATAATGTTTATAAAATGGTAATAACACCCATCGTTTTAATCGCCTTTTGGCAGAAAACCAGTGCATGTTATTTGGGTATTTGTATCAGCGTTACACATCATTGAACATGCTGGTAAACAACGTGCTTAATTTCAAATTATTTAATGCGAAATAAATGTGATAATTTAAATAGGTATAAATTTCTTTCAGAATAAATTTTGTACATAATCTGAGGGTTCAATTCTGGTGATTTACACATGTACATTCTAATTTAATTTAATCTACATTTACAAATAGAACACTTAAAACTGAGTATTATAGGGATAGAAATTAATGATAATTAAATTAACATTTCAGTAAAAATAATCATGACTGAAAAAATAATACATTGCAAAATTAAGAAAGATTTTTTTTTAAAGCCCCAATACAAAAGAAATATTCTTTAGAGTATGCTGATAGTATGGAAATTGGTTATATAATGAAAAAAAAATATCTAATTAAAAGCTTATTCTGGTGGAAAATAATTTATTCATTTTTAATTTTCTGTATATAAATATAAATATGGGAACCATTATCAATCACAGAAAATATAGAAATTGAATTGTATGATAAAATTGTATATCCGATAATTATGATTAAATATTCATGTTCAGTTTAATTTATATATGTAGGTGTAAAAGCCTTCTTCCTCCAATAAATATTATTATTCCAGTTTGTTTTATGCGCGTACTGTTCATAAATGACATACGCATACACGTAAGGATGCCTAGCATACAACCCAGAATCATTTTCTACTACCTTTTATAGTCCCATTGTTTATTTGAAATCTCATTTCTGAGTTAGCACCGCCCATTAAATTAATAAGCCCCGCCAACTGGGACTGCTGGGACTGCTTTTTGGGACTGCTCTCTGGGACTGTTGTAAGACTGCTCTGGGACTGCTGTAAGACTGCTCTGGGACCGCTGTGGGACTGCTTTAGCAGTCCCAGAAAGCAGTCCCCGGGGCTGCTCTTGGACTGCTTTGTGTCAAGTTGGGTCTGGTCGGTACTGTACTGTAGTAAGTAGTCTACATCTGTATATGTATCGATCATGCAATCTTGGTCATATTTGAATATGGAATCGATCCCCAACAGCTGACCCACCCCCATTTTTTTAATTAAACAGAATGACGATTTTATGTTTATAATTCCGATGCTTTTATATTAATGGGTACACACATACATCTACCTTACCAAATAAAAATTTTATTTTGACAGGTTGTTTGAAAGTGGGGTTACTAAAGTGGGGGTATAGATAGGCGACTCTTCTGTAAACCGCAATGTAATTATGAAAAACATATCGTGTTACAGAGATAAACGTACCTGTTATTTAGTATGTATTTATAAATTCTGGAAATAATCAAAATTTCTCCACTAAAATTTTACAAATCAATTCCTTGAATTAAAAACAAATACTACAAGTAAAATAAGGACAATCCAGAATACTATTTGAAGCTTTGTTTTCACAAAATATATTTCAAACACTTTCCAAAATCTGAATTAAATGGGTCGAGTCACTTGCAATCTTGTAAATTTAGTGTGTAAAAATGTAGGAAAAAAGAAATGCACATTTCCCGGAAAGGCAGAAAAATTACAAGAACTAAACATCATACATTGATAAAACATGTAGGTCACTGTAAAATTACATTTCATTACCAGTTTTTGTAACAATCGACAAACGATAACTCTTTCATTATCATCAAACAATTAAACAATTCAGATGAGTTACATGAAGTACGAAATTGACCGAGCCGAGACATTTTTAGGCTTAGATGGTCAGACATGAAGCTATGTAACAAAACAAATGTAATTTCTCTAATGAAAATGACAAGACTTTGAGCAGAAATACACCTGTAATTAAGTTAATGTAGAAACACAATAGTTTGATTTATTCTACCTTTAGTACCCTCTATTCACTGCACCCCAACGAGTTCTGATTCTTTGAGTCCCTAGGGTGACCTTTTGCCTTTAGATTTTATTTCATCCGCCGTCTTCTGTTAACGAATGTGTATTTAATACAAGTACTTTCATGTAAATTAGGTGAAGTTGTTTTACTAGTCTCATGATCATGACAAGGAGCACACGGTGTGTCAGCATGGGATGCTCACTCCTCCATGGCACCAGATCCCACCTCTGATGTTTCGGAGGTCCGTGTTTGCTCGCTCCTATTTTGTATTGTTTTCTGGACTTTGAGATTGAATATTATTCGTTATCTCTATATTTTTTTCCATGCATGTGTCATGTTGTAAAATTTGAATATACCGGGTGGCATTAAATTCAAAATTGCCACCCTGTAAATTCAAAATTTTCAACATGACACATGGAGGGATGGGAGGGGAGTGGTTAAGGTCATGAAGGTACTCCTATTAAGGATTCTGTCGATTTCTGTGTATCGATTTGGGATTTTGATAAACCATCTTAGGTTCATATTATACCAAGTACATATAATACGGACATTGAAAAATAAAGAATATTAAACCAAAAAGATCGTCGGTTATAAATTTCTACAAATTTTACAGAGAATTCTTATATTAAGGTGAGAGGAGGTGGTGGGTTGACAGAGGAATTATTTACTGGTTTACCTCTCTTTATCCCTTTCCCCTGATCTACTTGGATCATCCCCTACTGACAATTTGTGTCTTCCATCATTAATACAAATGAAAAGAGCTTGAGTCTATTTATCTATTTGAGCCATTTATGTTGAATTCTTTAGATATATTATGATGCTGTGAAATCGAAGGTTATTTGTTTCATACTTTTGATTTAAACCCTTTTAATTTCTTTTTATAAATATCTTTAAATTTCATACTTTCAGGTAAACTCGATAAGTATTCGTCAAATATCCGATGTCTACTGTTCTGCTTACTGATGACAGAGAAGTATCAGTTAAATCTCAATGTACAATCACACAGAATCACAAGGGACAAAATCAGACAGAGGTATTTCCCTGATATTACTGATGACGGTTGGGTAGATCTTCCTGAAGAAATTATAGAAACACGTGATGTTGTGATAACGTTTATATCAGACGACATCCGACATGACGTCATGTACGCCTTTGTTACTGAGTGTCTGGTGAAGGACAGTGATCTGAAGTTTTTCCTGATCACGGCGTCACGTGACGTTATATCAGAGTACTGCAGATCCTGGGATTATAAGAAAAGTGAGGGAGAGAGATGTCTGTATGTACCGGACAGACCGGAGAAGATGTATGACCTCTTCATAGACAAACTACAACTGGACATCATCTCACACTGCACTGTGTCTGACGAGGGGATTCATAACAGGATCAGTAACAAGTGTAAGTATAAAGAATATTTCCACTTAAGCACAGTGCCGTGGCCCCTTTTTTAGACCCCTCTAACTTTATCTAATTAACTCAAATCTTAATAATTTTGCACCTAACCGATATTTTGATATCAGTGTGGTACATTACTTGCAAAAAATTTCATTGAAAACAGCGCCTTAGTTTCGTTAAGTAATTAAAAAAGCCCTCTAGTGGATGTTAATTCCGGAATGTTGCGCTTGTCCGAGTTGGGTTTTAATTGTGTCACATTAATATTCGGAGTAGACAGGGCATTTTATCGATCGATTGAAAACATGTATAAATGGCCAGTTATAATGGCTACAAAATATACAGAAAAGTAAATATAACGGACTCAAGCTCTACGCCAGGCTTTTTTTTTTGGGGGGGGGGGGGGTGATCTAGCGCGGGGATGTTCATGTTTTTCCTCCCTTAATCCAGATTTTCCCCTCAATTTTAGTCATTTCTAATTTAGGTGAAAATTTTACACTTAAGAAAAATCTGTGTTTGAAATTTAATATATACTTTGGAAATATATACAAAGCCAGGTGAATTTTATTAGGAAAAGCAAAATGGTATAAATTACCGTATTTTATATGGGCTGATTTTTACCATTTTGCTTTTCCTCATAAAATTCACCTCGCTTGGTATATTTTTCTACAGTTTATATAACACTTTAAGCACCAAGTTAACATATTATGAAATTAATTTTCATCTGTAAGCCTTTACTGAATGTGTTTATCCTATTTTTATAATTTTATTGAAATATTACTAATATTTTCCAAGTTTTACTTTTTTCATTTTCCAATTCTTAAGAGAAAAAATTCTAAGAATTATCCCCTTTTCTAAACTTGTGACATGGTATTAAGTCTCCTCCAAAGATAAAATTTGTTTGTATCATCTGTCCTTAAACCATCTACGTACTTTTTACCCTGTGTGCATATATTTTTACAGTAAAACACTTTGAGGAATAATGGTATTGCGACGATTGGGACTAAATCTCTTTGAAATTCTTTGATCTCTAAAGGTGTCCCCTAAATCCAAGGACTACAATAAATAAAATATCATTACATTTTGTCCAATTTTATATTCCATTACCCTATAAAAAATGCTTAGCCGAAAAAAAGAATTCTATATTGATAAATCAAAAATGTACATATAACGGTATAAGTTGGTCGCTTTTTGATGCAATGTTATCAATCGGTGCTTCAGCCACGAGTGTTTAATTGAATTTTTTGTATTCACAAAGATAACTGAGTCTACAAATCACGTGATATATTAGAATACTTGACAGGTCACAATGAGGTCAATGACATGTAAATACCCGTAAATAGCGAAGAAAACGGTCGGCGTTTTGTACCTTTTTTCAAAAAGTTTACCCCAAGCGCAGGCTTGCCCAAAATTCTCATTTAAATATGTTGATTTTACAACAGTTCTTTTGAAAAATTTGGGCTAGAATGCGCTCACCATGTATTCCAGTTTTAAAGATTTGAATAACTTCGAATAACAATGTAAATTCATGAATTGCAGTGACCCCTCTTACAAAACACATCCTCGATCTTTTTTTTTTTTTTACATACTTTTAATTCCTGTAATTTTCCAAAGTTGCGATAAAGACCCAGAATAATTGCTTTATTCATCTCATTAGGATACTATTTATACTTTATTTTTGCGCAATTTACCGGGGCAACTTTTCGTACACTAAGTGCAATCATTCTTTATTCAGCAAATTTCTTATTTTTCTATAAGAAAAATAAGTTTTCTATTATTACTTTCATGCACACATTTAGAATAAACACATATACAATATATACATATTATATTCTTCATCTGTGACTTTATATTGTTATAATGAAATTGATGCATCCTTTGGTACGTTAACTAAATATGATTATGATCAATTGTCAATAGACTTTGCATCAATCGAAATATTCTGTTCAAAATAAGTAGGGTGGTAGAATATGCTGATTAGCTATGTAGTTAAAAACCAGCTATACCCGTGTTTCTTCTTAATTGTTACTTTAAACCGTACAGTTAACAATGTATCAGTTCATACAAAACAATAAAATCAGTCACAGTACAGAAGTGGATAATTTACAGGAGAACAATGTTTACGTACATACATTATAATAGTGAAGTCAAAAAAATGGGATTGTTGGATTATAAAAACGTCTCTTCACCTTAAACTATAAAAATGTATTTACCAAGGGTTACACATATTCTTATAGTTTTTAGTATTGAACAATAGCAATTTGAACATCACTAACCAACATATAAAAGCTTGATAGCTTTTCTAATTCAACAAACAGATTACTTTCATTCTCTTTAAAAAATACAGAATAAAAGGGGGAGAATATATGTCATTCTGCCGCTTGTCCACCATACCAAGAGCACGAAGAAAATCCATTTTCGGGTGTGTGGGTAGATGCTCACTCCTCCATGGCACCTGATCCCACCTCTGATGTTTCGGAGGTCCGTGTTTGCTCTGCTCTTATTTTGTATATTTGTTTAATGGACGTTGAGATTGAATACTGTTCGTTATTTCCATATCCTTCTTCCAGCTTCTTTTCCTGCAAATTGGTTTATTCTAACATATTATAATTACATTTATTTGACTTAGCTGCAAAAAGGGTGTGTGTGCAACTGAACTTCAACAGATAATTTTTTATACGCCCCCTCACAACTACATCCCCCCGATGTCTGTTAGAAGGTTTCCTTTCCACTTTCAATAACATGTATTAAAAACGCGAGAACATGCAGTCACGACATTTCTCATATGATTTTTCTGAGAGTTGCAAATAACTTAATAAAGCAAAGGTCGTGATTGACAATTGACTGTGTTGTATTGGATATTTAAAACCATTCCTTGTGATATTTTTTGTAAATAGGAATACTTATGCTTAAAAAGGAAATTACTTTTAAAATTAATAGATAACATCTCTATATCTCATTAGAAGTCCTAAAAACCAATCAAGGTAGTAAACATGGCAGATAAATTTAATATGTGATGATTACATACACAAAAATAACCATTACATATATATGAATAGTTCTGTAAATATTTTGATCGATTAATGTGTTGCACATCTACAATTATCTTTAAATTCAGGCAAGAAATATTTTTAAAAAATATCATTCAACTGTTAATTTGAGCCAAATTTGTGCTGGAATGAATCACTCCAGCACTTGCACCATTACAGAGATTCTTGGATGTTGACCCCTTTAACCCCCACCCCACCTCTCCCCCTCCAAAAAAGAAAGCGGGGAGAGGTGCCTACATTATTGCAGCTTTTTTCCCTAGTAACATTGAAGTTTGAAACATGGATTTTTCATGTTGTCAATAATTTCTTCTTTCACATTGTACAGTGGGAGTCCCAGAAGAAGTACTACAATGGGACCAGGAGGCCAGAGAGCGGTATGTGGAGTACGCTAAGAGAGGAACACAGACAGTCCACCACGCCCGGGGGATGATTGTAGGATGTGCTGGGGCGGGGAAAACCACGCTACTTAAACGTCTGCTTGGTTGTAGTGAAGAAGAAATTAAGAAAATAAAATCCACTGAGGGATTGGAGGTGCATGAGGAAATATTTGACATTTGTGATGAAACAAGATCATTAAAAGGTAATAGATATATAAGTGGTGCTCCAACTAATGCCTGAGAGAGAAAGAATGAAATAGTTCTTGCATAAAACAAAAATATGACATACTTTTTTTTCATCTACATGTATATTTTTTCAATAAAAACTTAATATCAATTCTCTGTAATTATCAAAATTGGTTGGCCACGCATAGAAAATCATTTGATTTTTTTATAATAATTTTTAAAGCGGCACAGTGAGTCAAAATCATATCTTAATTTTAAGACATCTGTAGCATACAGAGAAAGACTTATGAAAATTATGAGTATATAGCGAAGATATGACAATTAAACTGCAAGAATTGACTGCACAATATAAGTGCCGGAAAAACAAAGGTTGTATTTACCGTTTCGTTGTTTCGTATATGTCAAGGTCACGCAACTCTTATTTTTAGCTCAAACTTGTAAACAACATTCAACTGGAGCATGCAAAGGTGAGAAATATGTTGTAACAACTTTTTTAAAAGATTAAATCAAATCTTTTGGTCTTCTTACATTCATTCGTGGATACCTGAGACCATGGTAACTATGGAAACTTATTCAACACCTTTCTGCCCACGCGTACAATAGGGAGGAAGAAGTACAAGGGTATTTTGCAATATTTTCGTTCTGGGGCAGACAGAAATTATATTTACTTTTATTTTTCCTCATAAAAATATAATTTTTAGGTTCTGAAATCTGTAATTTTCTGAAACTGAATACTTTTAAGAATTGAACAAAATTTACAGAGGCCATGCGAAAATTCTACATTTGTCAATTTTCCCCTTTGTGCGTCACTGTGCCGCTTTAACAGCTATGCCATAAATTGTAAAATCTAAAGTGGGTTTATGAAATAGACCCTTGGTTGCCATAGAAACGGGGTGCAAAATTCTCAATCTCGATAATTTTGAAAAACGTGTACTTATCAAGAAAAACTGTGTCCAGAAATGAAAAGGGATAACTTAATATGTTTTAATTATTTAAATTTAATACTACAGATTAAAGTAATTATATCTGTAGTTTTAATTTAATCTCTCAATGGTAAATGGCCATTTTACATATAACATATCAGATATGTGATTGGTTTAGTGGAATTTTTGGAGGCTTAAAACAAAAAAGGCACACTTATTACAAATTTAGTAATAATTAATTATGAAAGGCTGATATTTGTTTATATCAAAATATGTAAAATATTGGTGGGTGACTCAAAGATGTAAAAGGAATTCAAAGGTAAATATAACTTTTTTTTCTACATTTTGAAGCATTTTTTGCTCCAAATTACTTCCCTTGAACTACTCTCTAACGTTTGGAGGTGTATTTAGTAAACAGCAATGAACATTTTCTGGCGAAAGATCTCACCAAAGTTTTACAGTCTGGAAGAAGAAAAGAAGGCTAGACATCCTAAACAATGAAGACAGAAGGTAAATTTATGTATATACTGAGCATTACAAAAATATCAAGATTAACAAATTGCAAATTATCTTAATTTTATTTGCCTTACAATACACAGTTGTTTTATCGTTAGTGGTCAGTGGTCCTTATCAAATCAAGCAAACTATACCTTTTGACAGTTTGACTTTCTGACCAATGAATTAATTATTTTTATTAATAAAAATGAATTTGAAGCATAAAAACATCACTTGCTGATACAGCTGAACCCCCCACCCCCCACCCCCCGAGATGTAAATGTTTAAAATCTGTGTCATTCAGTAGGTTTACTTTTTATGATTTGCTGAGAGAAACTTTTAAGTGAACATTATTTATCTTTATGTAGCCAGTGGAAGTACATCAGAAATGAAAACATCTGGTAAGGGTTCAATAATTTATTTACGTTGAAATAAACCTCAAAAACCTGAAATATTACAACTACACACAACACATAGACGACACATAGACATTTAGACAGATAATTAAAACATGATAGACTTTACTTTAGAATAGAATCTTACCGGGACACACACACACAGGAATTCACAAACATTACTATCTGTATATTTATGATTATAGAGTAGACATCTAAAAAATTCAACGGCTAGGCTCAGAGTGCCCGATGTTAGTTCGTGAAAGCGGGAATTCAGTGAATAGGATTAAGTCATGTGACTGTCCTTCTAGTGTCTAAAAATAAGAACAACCTCATTCACACAAAGTCTTTCATACCACATTCTCACATATACGCAGCGCAAGTATAAAGTAGCATTAAATAATACAAAACCCTGGTTACATTTATAATATAAATTTCCATTTCTGTCACTTTTCATTCATTGTTTATCCTATTATTTCAATTCTTTATTGGCATTAGGCACACATTTTACAGAATTGTGCTGTTAAAATATTTAACACGAGCAAGTTTGTTTTCTATAAAAAAAAAAAGTGCATCAAACGTTTATAATGTGTGAGCACAAGCCAAAGTAGCTAAGTTTTTTTAAATAGTATTCTATATATCAGCAAAATATGGTCATGTGATGTTCATAAGCAGAAAATAGGAAAACAGCATGTTTGTTTTGATGTCAATATTGTTTTATTTAATAGCTTCTATCTTTTAAACTTTAAATTTATTATATATATCCAAAACTGTACTATATGTATTAACAAAATAGATCTAGGTTAAGAATGCACTGGAAATAATGAGTTATTTTTGTTTATATAGACTCTTTCATTCGTCTGTGAAGTACGGGTACTTTATAATCTATAGTTTAATTTTGTGTGAATAATAATAATCTTTTCAAATAGCAAACAGTAAAAAATATATATGTACACTTGTACATATGTATTAGTGTTAGCACAAAATTTAACTAGGTTTAACTATGGTTATAACTGATGACAAAATCCATGTTTTACTGTGGCTGGGAAACCCAAAATATGTGTCGAATCAAAAAGTAAAATAGGAGGTGCACAATGGCAATATGTAATAAAGATTCTGTGAAAGATTCATTAAATTTCACTCATTGCAGTGGTATAAGAAGAGTTGTGGATAATAAGAGATGGGTACCCTAAAGCGTAACAAACAGACGGACGCACAGACAGATGGACGTACAGCTAGACGGACATGCCGATTACAGTATACCCTACCACTTTTCAAGCGGAGGGTATAATAAAACTATATACATGTACATGTAGAATATTCACCTCTGATTTATAATGATATTTGTTTTATACACACTGACCATGATTTATAATATTCTAAACAAATTATTTGATACTCATGCAAATATTCACTACTGGTAAGATGATCACACACATGAACATGTCTGTGTATGAATGAAATGAATTTTCCTTTTGATCATGTTCCTAGGAAAATAATTATTTTCATCATTTTTTCATCAAAGGATTTACTATATAAGATGAATAAAGAAAAAGTAAGACCAGTAAATCAAAACAGGACCAAATAGGCCATGACTGAAGTTCAAGTGTATTCCGCAAGAAAGTGGACAGCCTAGATTTTGTTCCTTCAAGGTAACAATTCTTAAAATATGAAAGTAAATTAAGGACAGCTGATACAAACAAAAAATGGATGCCTGGGTTGGTTAATTTAATTGTAATTTAATGATGCTATTAATAAATTTCTAGAATATTAAGAAATTGTAAACCTTCTGTTCAAAAGTCTGCCCTCTTGAAACTATCCTTATTAGTCTATACAAATATTTTTCACTTCAAATACCATTTTTATGCAAATATGAATTAAAAATTAAAAAGTACTTGAAGAAAGTTATTAATTTTACTGATTTAAACATGACTCCAGTTGTTATTTTCAAATTCTTTGACAAAAGTTTGTTTGTATCATCTGTCCTTAAATTGTTAAAAAATATTTCAGTTTTATATCTAAATTTAACTCTTGCTTATTTCTTTTTTTTATAAACAAAATTTGATACCTGTCCACTAACAGAAGAATTATTATACTAGAATAAAGAAAACAACTTTCTAAAGGATTACATACACATTTAATTAGCTTGAAATCTGTGTATATTGGAAAGTGCAGGAATTATTTACCATTGCAGGTTGAAAAGGGGTGCCATATTTTAGGTTTGAAACCAGGCAAGTGAAAGCTGAATTCCAACCTACTTCAACATACTTGTACCCACTGTCTTCAAGATATCAGTGTTTGAGATGTCAAAGTTCAAATAAAATAGGAACATGTATATCATATTATGTGATGGCATCCTCAAATCTTATGCTATGTAACAATATGTTTTAGAACTTATCAAGCTTTATTCTGTACCTTGCCAAAAAAACTCAACTCAGCATAATTCCCATTAACTAATTATCAGTGTTACTTGCGTATGTCAATGTAGGTCATTACTGGTACATGTACATGCCTGACCAACAAAAACTCTAAAATTGAAAAATCAGAGACAAGATTTTCAGAGCAGCAGAAACAGTAAAATTTGTCACGTAAATCGAATGATATATACCGTAGTTGAGAATACATGTACTCTAAATGTTGCATATATAAAAAAATAAAAAAAGCGAAAAGTTCTCTTCTTTTCAGAATTTATATTTACATGTGAAAAAAAAGGATATTGATATAGTTGGTGTGATGAGATGTTGGCAGGAACCTAGTAAAATGAAAGGAAGAACTTCCTTAAAATGATACTTGTGGGGGACAGTGTCTCATGGGGGGGGGGGGCATTGTTTCAACTGACTTTACAGAATACAAAAGATCCATCGCAAACCTAATTATTAATTATATGCCAAACACTATGTTTAAAGTTTCCCATTGTTGGATATTTATGTTTAAATCCAAGTTAACTTACCCAAGAGGATGTGATTTTTTTTAAACCAATGTAATTTTTCTCAAGTTTAATGCCGTGTTTCATAAATTTGAAAAGAAAAAAAAATCAGAAGGGGAGGAGCGGGGGAGGGTAAATTTTTGACTTCATTCAGAATTATCTGTGGTTTGCAGTTGCCAATGAATTAAATAAATAATTATACAAAGTAACAAGTTGAAATGAGTAAAATATTATGAATGTCCTGCTTGTTTTAGTTTCATTTCAGAATTTTTCAAGTT